TAAAGAACAGCATCCAAACCTTGGTTGAAGCAGGCGTTATAACACTAGGGTAAGCCAATTGAGAGTGCCAAGACTCCGACAAGTATAAGAGTATAAACTGCTTCTCAATACTCCGACAAGTATAAGAGTATAAACTGCTTCTCAATACTCCGACAAGTATAAGAGTATAAACTGCTCCCTGATACTCCAACATGTATATGAGTCTAAACTGTTTCATTTCTTTCACGGAAAGTTCCTGGAGAATTTTTATGTAATATTCTTAAGGATAACCCGATCATATAACCGAATGCAATGATAAATCCAGCTTCGCGAAGAAGCTGGGGGTGGATGATTCATGTAACGGGAAGTTCCCAAAATACCACAGGTGATATTCTTAGGGATAACCCAATCACTATAAAAGTGATAAGTAAAACATCCACATTTAAACTCTAAAGGTTGGAATGTTTTCCATTATTGTTAACAAATTCACTAATTCTCATGAGTTATCTTGTTGAGACGAGATTCGATCCTTTTGACAGATTAATCTTTCCTCACAAAAATCCCCCACTGATCAAGTCAATTGACGGTGGGTCCACTAAATTTTCTGTCCGCCAATTCATGGCAATTTCCAAAGCTTGACGTGTTAAGTCCTGATTAATTAACATCATAAGTCCTGATTACTTAACATCAAAACCCTTCATCGAGTGGCCAGTACAAACCAGTATTTCTACTGCTACTTGTATTCCACTCCCTTTGCTTTCAGGTCAAACTTATAAAAGTTAGGGCCACAACCAAAATCCCCTCTCGATTCCTTCAATGAACGAGAGGCCCATAAATTGAGCGATCAAACCTTCCTACAGTTAGGATCGTCTTAAACCTCCCATTCGGTCAAACCTTCCTACAGTTAGGACCAAAACCACAATTCACTCTCGATAAACGAGAAATTCATCTTCAGTTTGGTAATCAAACCTTCCGACAGTTAGGGTTATCTAAATCTTTTCGATTCTCGGAGTGGAGATCCCACTCTTAGTTTCACCTTTCCGGATTCTAGGGGTGGAGATCCCACCTCGAGTCTCCTTTCCAGCTGAAGATAGAATATAAAATTCTTCTTCTTCAGTGTCGGGAGATAGAATATAAAATTCATCCTCTCCCATTTCGGGTTCGTCTTTGCCCCAAGAGAAGACACCAACCTTCTCAAAGAATTTGTCAATCTAGGATTCATCCTAGGAAGTTTTATCCTGAATCCTAAGTAGGGATAAGTCAACGCGGGATAAGCCTGCGCCTAACACGCGTTGCCGGTTTAGTCTTTCTCCATAGAAAAAGACACCAGAGTTCGATTCTGGGGTATCCTATCCTGAAACCTAAACAGGGATAAGTCTGCACTTAACCCGCGCTGCCGGTTAGTTCTTAACCGTTAAAAAGAACACCCGCCCACATATTCAACATTGTGGCAGGTTGTTATTAATAACACCAAAATCCATGCCTTACACGCATGGGGAATTTCATCCTGAATCCTACGAAAGGATATGCCGACGCCTAACACGCGTCGCCGGTTTAGTCTTTTACCGATTGAAAAAGACACCAGAGTTCGATTCTGGGGTATTTTATCCCGAAGCCTAAGTAGGGATAAAGTCAACACCTAACACGTGTTGCCGGGTAGCTTATTCCCGTAACAATGGTGAAGTCTACGTATTCGAAGTCGTAGCAGCGAGTCTAAGGGAATTCATTCTGTTAGCACAACGTCATGTGCGGAACGGATTTAGACAATCAGCATGCTAGCCCGACTCAAACGGTAGTCGGTAAAGGCTAATCAAATCCGTTGAAGGCTGGGGGTTAGCCAAAAATCCTAAAGTCAACGCCTAACACGCGTTGCCGGGTAGCCTATTCCCGTAACAAATGGTAAAGCCTATGTATTCGACATCATAGCACAAAGTCTCAGAGAAGTCACTCTCTTAGCACAACGTTACATGCGGAACAGATTTAGACAATCCGCATGCTAGCCCGACTCAAACGATAGTCGGTAAAGGCGCATCAAACCCGTTCATGGCTGAGGGTTTGCCAAAAATCCTATATATGCGAAAGTCACTGACGCACCAGCCCCATTAGTTGGTCTCGTGACTTAGACATCCAACAAATTCGGGATAAGATCCACACGTACAGATGAATCAGCTTTAATAGTTGGTCCTGCAGCCCAATATTTAGGACCGCCACGCTCCAACGCCTTAAGAGCTTAAACTGTGGAGACTCCAGCAAACGTACGAGTATAAACCGTGTCAATCGCCGGTCAACTCGTTACAACTAAAATCAACGCCGGACAACGCGTTACAGTAAAGGTCGATGTCGGTCAACGCATCAGCAATTTCGCCAAAATAAGGCAAAAGATGATTCCAAGGAGTTCAATTACAATCAGAATTCCCGACGAAGATGATCAGTTCAAAGTCAACTCAACGATAAGAGCTAAATTCAGAAACTTACACATTAACTTCAAGCCAAGATTTCGACAACGGTCAGACGATAAACGCAGCACCGGAAGAACTTTATTTATTTGACAAAACACTGAATAGACTAAAGGCTGAAGAAGTTAAGAATTGAAGCAGTTTACAGGTCCTTTCACACCGACTGAAGGTTGGGACTATCACATCCAAAGCATTCCAGACTCCTCTATAAAAGAATGAGTCTGAAGTACTTTGGAGGGGGTATCTGTAGGTGTCTAAAAATGCCTATAGGTATCCATACACAGCTCGAGACGGAGAGAAGATGACGAACGTCGTTATCCGAATTATCTGACGCCGACCAATGCATGAAACAAAACGGCCAACGCTAGATGGCCCGCGTGCTCACCGGCCACCACCAAGTGGCCAACACGTTCACCATTCACCTCCAACTTAATAAAATTTATGATGCAAGTTGGTGAAGCGTACGAGTCAATGTGACACACGAAATGGCAAAAGACAACGCAGCTAGGAGTTGTGTTTCACCCAAAAGGGGCGAAACACCATATGTGACTCGCACATATCATGTGTGGCTCGGCTATTGGAAGTTGTAGGTCTTTTCGTTAGCTTTCCAACGCATCTTGAATCACCTCATTCCGAGATCGGACGAGAGAGTTAGAGCCAAAACACCTGAGGTAGTACGAACTGGCTCCCCCCCCCCCATTCTGAAGAAACTCAAAACATAAAAGTTGTAGCTCTTTTCGTCAGCTTTCCAACGTATCTTGAATCACCTCATTCCGAGATCAGACGAGAGAGTTAGAGTCAAAACACCCGGGTAGTACGAACTGGCTCGCATGGCTGCGAGCCCCCTGGCCGAGCCACCAAATGGTGGCTCGCATAAAAAGTGATGTTTCGGCCATGTTGTGATTTGATTCTGAAGAAACTCAAAACACAAAAGTTGTAGATATTTTCGTCAGCTTAACAACACATCTTGAATTACCTCATTCAAAGATCGGACGAGAGAGTTAGAGCCAAAACACCCGAGGTAGTACGAACTGGCTCGCATGGCTGCGAGCCACCTGGCCGAGCCACCAAATGGTGGCTCGCACAAAAAGTGATGTTTCGGCCATGTTGTTATTTGATTCTGAAGAAACTCAAAACACAAAGGTTGTAGGTCTTTTCGTCAGCTTTCCAACGCATCTTGAATCACCTCATTCCGAGATCGGACGAGAGAGTTAGAGCCAAAACACCCGAGGTAGTACGAACTGGCTCACATGGCTGCGAGCCACCTGGCCGAGCCACCCAAATCTGGGCCCAGATCTAAGCCCAGATCTGGTTTGAAGAGCCTATAAATAGACCCCTAAGCTCATTGTTTGAAGGTTGGACTTTGGATAGGGGAAACTCTGCTGGATTAAAGACTCAATACTAAAAAAGATTGGAGCTTTGGAGCTTTGAGAACTCGGACTTTTCAGATCTGGTTCTTGGCGATCATCCATGCCAAATAAGGCAAGAGTTCGAGAGAGATCAGATCTGAGATCTACACGGTCATCCTCCGGATCAAAACTTGGTTTTTGATCCCGAGAAGAGTATTGATTTTGCTTGGTCGATTTCGATTACTTAGGGCTATTATTTCCTTGGTGAAATAATCCCCTCGGCTGTTATTTCCTTCGTGAAATAACACCCGTCATACCGTGTAGATCCGACCGGATCAAGATCACGCGGTGGTCCACGGATTAACCCCGGCGCAGGCAAAGAACCCACACAAGCAAGAGACCGCAAAACAGGATCTTGCGATTTGTTCTAAAGGAAAGTTGTAATTTTTCTTTTTTCTTTGATTTTGTTGTAACCGGATCTTATAAAAAGACCGGATCTTTTGTAACCGATAAACTGCTACATAAGAAAACAATGACTTCAATGAAAACAACTTTCACCGCGAACAGGTATACAATATGATGTTTGATGAACTTAATCACATCATTGGTCTTGACTTCTCTTAAAGGGACGGCTTCGGCCCATCTAGAGAAGTAGTCGGTAATTGCGAGGATGAAGTGATGGCCTCTTGCCGACGGCGGGGATATTGGCCCGACAATGTCCATCTCCCATGTTTCGAAAGGCCATGATACCATTGTCGGGTGTAGGTCTTCGGGAGGTTGATGCATGTAGTTGGCGTGGATTTGGCACGCGTGGCAGTGCTTTGCGTAAGCAACCGCGTCGCTAACCATCCTAGGCTAAAAGTAGCCTATCCTTCGTAAACGATCCCAAAGTTTGGGTCCGGGTGGTGAGCTCCGCAAGTGCCATCATGGGCTTCGCGCAGAGCTCTTGTGCTTTTGTCTTTGAAAGACATCGAAGTAACAAGCTGTCGTACGACCTTCGATACAACGCCTTTGTAGTCGAATCGTAGTAAAACCTTGAGGCACGCTGGCGGATAGACTCTCGCTCCCTAGCCTCTTCGGGCAGCATGCCGTACAGGACGTAGTCGATGATCAGGAGACGCTAGTCTTTCAGGTCGGGCTGCTCTGAAACTTGATGGGTGGCGTTCTCTTCTAGAATGTCCTTTAGTCGAAAGAGCCTTCGGCTTGCCACAGTGACCTATTGAGTCATCTCTAGTGGCTGGGCCAAGTTAGTTGCCAAGGATGCGAGGGCATCAGCATACGTGTTCTTGGAACGAAGCACATGCTCGATGCAAAAACTCTTGAATGACTCCACTAGCTTGGTAGCTGCTTTGTGAAGCGAGATTAGATCGTCGTTCCTTACTTCGTAATCCCCCGTCATTTGTTTGATAATTAGCTGAGAGTCACCATAGGCTTCGAGATGTCTTATCTCTAACTCCCTTGCTAACTCGAGTCCAATGAGTAGCGCGTTGTACTCATCCACGTTGTTGGTGCATGGCTCCGTTAGCGAAAAGGCATGGGGCAATACGTGATTACGTGGGGAAGTGAGGACCACCCCCCACTCCTGCAATGATGGATCGCTCATTCCGACGCGAGACGCACCGTCAAAGAACATCTGCCAAACCTCTGGCGAAGAAGTTGTGTTGACCTCAGGGGGTTCATCTGGCAAATCTTCGAATAGGTCGGTCTTCGCCCCTAGCGGATGACTAGCCATAAGATCACAGATAGCCTGTCCTTTGACTGACTTCTGTGGCATGAAGTGGATGTCATACTGAGACAGTAAGAGCACCCATCTAGCCAAACGCCAATTTAAGGCCGCAGGCTGCGTCATGAAGACTCGGATAGGGTTCATCCGGGAAATGACGTGGATGGTTTGGCCAACCAGGTAATGTCGCATCTTTTGGATGGCGAATACTAAGGTCAAACACTCCTTTTCGACCATAAGGTATCGTCGTTCAGCACCCTGTAAGGTCCTACTTAATTAGTAGATGCCGTGCTCATGGCCGATGTCATCATTTTGCGGCAAGAGAGCGCCGAGCGAATGCTCCATAGCCCGTATGTAGATGAGGAATGGCTTTCCTGAGATTGGAGTCGCGAGGATAGGTGGATTCGAGAGATAGGCTTTGATCTCCTCAAAAGCCCGTTGGCAAGGCTCGTCCAACACGAAGGAAGTACCTTTCTTCATTAGCTTGGAGAAGGGTTGATATTTGCCCGAAAGATTTGAAATGAACCTTCGGATGTAAGCCAATCATCCCTGAAGATCCCTTAGTTCCTTAAGGTTTCGAGGCGGCTGAAGCTCTTGAATAGCTCGTACCTTGTCTGGGTCAATCCGGATTCCTTTCGTCATGACGACGAAACCAAGGAATTTACCACTAGACATCCCTAAGAATGACTTCGTAGGATTCATCTTGAGTTGATGAGTCCTCATGAGTTCGAACATCACCCTCAAGTCTTAGAGGTGGTCATCTTTACAGCGACTCTTCACGACCAGGTCGTCCATATAGCACTCGACCGTCTTTCGCAGGTAATCTCGAAAGATCATGCTCATGGCACGCTGGTAGGTTGCGCCGGTGTTTTTGAGTCCGAAACGCATGACCGTGTAGCAGTACACCCCCATGGGAGTCCTGAATGAAGTGAGTTTTTCATCCTCAGGGTGCATTTTGATTTGATTGTACCCTGAGAACCCATCCATGAAGGACATCCTCTCAAACCCACACGTGTTATCAATAATGACGTCCATGATGGGCAAAGGAAACTCATCCTTAGGGCACGCAACATTGAGATCCCTGAAGTCAATACAGATGCGAATCTTACCGTTCTTCTTTAGGACTGGAACAATATTGGCTACCCAGTCGGGGTGTTGTTCCTCTCTGATGAAACCAGATTCGATCAGTTTCTTCACTTCGGCCTCGATCGCCTCCATAATCTGCGAGCAAAACCACCTCTGCTGCTGTTTGACTGGTTTGGTGTCTGAGCCGATGTTGAGACGATGCATAGCGACCCGTGGATCAAGGCCGGGCATGTCCTCGTAATTCCATGCGAAGACATCAATGTATTCCCGTATGAGGGCAATGAGATCTTCTTTCTCCTGAGGAGGTAGACTTCCACTGATGAATATGGGCTTGGGGTTCATCTCATTGCCCATGTTAACCTGGAGGATTTCATCCTCGGTCGGTGGTTCACGTTGCTTGAAGCGATTATCCACTGAGCGTTGACGTGGCGATCCCATGTCTCGTCATAAAGTGGGACATGTCCGTCCTCTGCCATTTCAGTGGGATCAGTTGTTGAACAAATCCCTTACGCTGACGTCTGAGTCCCATGCTGAGGTTGTCGACGATCGATCCCCTGAACGCGCATAGTCGGAGTTCTCGTTGACATAACAGAACAAATCCGATGAGGAAGAGGAGTAGCCTAAACCTCTCCGAGTCCTGTTGAAGTAATTTAAGGGCTTAGCTTTAGGTACGTGAGCAGGTCGGATGACTGTCTTGCGCCCTCGGCCAGAATTCAGGTCCTCTGGGCGAGTGAGGTCATACCCATGTTGCTCATCATGCGCTTCGCGATTTAACTGTACTACGAAAATTGAGGCGTGGGGTCTTCATCTTCAGACTCTTCCCACAATGTGTACAAAGGGTGATCGATTCGTCCAAAGATAATATCTTTTTGATAGTTATCCCGGGCCGGTATGACGAATACAGCTCGTGAAGACTTGACCGGCTGTGCCTTCGTGATATATGACGAGCATATAGGTAAGTGCAGGGAGGGGTCATTATAGAGTTTCGACATTAGGTCGTTAGAAGCATCATCTTTGGACGTTGAGCAAGATGGCAAATAAGCAAAGTCGTACTTATCATTCACGATAATCTCCTCCGCCAGAACAGCGTTGGTTACATTGTGACTTTCGTAGCCGATTACAATTGATTCGAAATCATTCAGGACTAGGCTATCACCATACTCAGACTCGCTATCCGCCTCATTGCCGCTCTCGAGTTCCTCGATCGGTGGCTCGTCGGGGTCTTGGTACAGCAGAGAGTCCGTGAAGTAGTTCTCGACGCCTTTGAAGGGTTGTTTGTCGGCTACTACTGTCTTCACGCGATCATAGTCGTCCACGTATTTTAAACATTGATGTAAGGTAGATGGGACTATCCGGTTACCATGGATCCATGGTCGTCCCAAGAGCATATTGTAGGATAGCTCGGGGTCGATGACATAACAGGTCACCTATATCTTCATGTCGCCTATCCGGCACTTCAGGCGTATTTTACACAGCTGTCGGGTTCCCGTGGTGTCGAGGTCACCCCCAGGTGTTTGATCAATTTCAAAGGTACGATGCTTAATGCGGACCCTGGGTCGACCTGAATTCGATCCACTTTCGAGGAACCGACGTACCCTATAAAGTATAGTGGTCGATCATGGGAGGTGCTTTTGATGAGCATGTCCTCGGGAGTGAAAGTGATGCAAGGGCCCCGCCTCTCGGTGGTTTGGCGACACGTCGCACATTCCCGCTCCGTGTCTTCTTCCCTCAAGAAGTGGGTGGCGAAGACTTCTGAGTCGGCCAGTGCCTCTTGTAGGGCTTCCCGGGTAGGCCTGGACAACCACATGAGGTCATACTTGGTGATGCGCGCGGGGATGCTTTTCAGCTGTGTGAGCACGTTGAATCGGAAAGGATGATTACTCGAGCTCGGTCTGTCCGGATCCAGAGGAGCTGCTGCTAGCCTCGTGGGAGGTCCTACCGGGTTCTCCGCCCTCGTAGGGTATTCTTTTGCGAATTCCTTCCCTGCTCTTATGGCAAGGACGGTGGTTTCCTCCTCGGAGTCTGTGAGGGTAGATATTGCAGTCTGGTCCCTATCTGGCACGGCTGAGATGGCTTTGCATGGTCTACCTTTGGTCTTCCTGGAGGGCTTTGTAGTCCACTGTTTGTCGCTGAGGAGGTCCGGATGGACCCACATCACCTGACCTGACGGTAAAATCTGAGGTACTAAGCCTTTCCCTCGTTGACTGTGAGGGTCATCATTAGTGATTTTCAGGACTACCTTGGAGATAGGGATTATCCCTGACAGAGCCTGAACCTCTGGGAGATCTGTCCCAAAACTCAAGCTGATCATATTCGTGGTCACCTGCTTTTGTATCTTCTCCTTCTTTAGGACTCCTGTATTGTAGAGGGCCTGAAGCTTGTCCTTAAGGATGTAACATTTAGAGGTGTGGTGGCCAAGAAATCTGTGATAGGCACAGTAACCCGGGTCATTGGTTTTGTTCGCCTCTTCAGGCTTTGTGACATCCGGTAATTTAATCCGATTGCTCTTGAGTAGTGTATCGAATGTCGCCACCACTTGGTCTTCCTTAAAGTCGTATTGCCGTGGGGGGCGTTGCTCCAATTGTCTGGGCTTTGGTCTTTGAGCAGTTTTGGATGTCGGGGCGGAATCGACGTCCATGATCTTTTTCCTCTCGTTCGAGGGGGATTCTTTGGCACTGTCGGTTCCACGGCTCCCTTCTTGGGCTGCGGCTCTTTGGCTTCTAGCCTTTTGATCATGTTTTCCACTTGCTCGCCCTGACGAACCAGTTCTTTCCATGTTCGGGTTTCCACCGTGCTGACCTTAGACAGAATGTGGATTGAGAGATTATTACGGCACATCTCGATCTGTGTGGATTCGAAAACTTGGTCCCGATAGTGAACTGATCGATTCCTGAATCTCTTTACGAAATCGTTGACCGATTTTGACTTTCGCTACTTTTCGGCGAGGAGGGTGGCCATCGACACCTTCGTGTCATCGTCAAAGAAGTGGGCCAGGAAGAGCCTTTCGGTGTCAGCCCAAGATGTGATGGAGCCAGGCTCCAACTTACGGAACCATTCAAAGGCCACCCCTTTGAGGGTGCCGATGAACAATCGGGTGAGGATGGCGTCGTTCCCCGTAAGGAAACCAGTTTGCGCCATAAAATAATAAATGTGCTGCGAGAGCGAGCCCTTTCCATCGAACTGTACCAAGCTAATCGGCTTGAACTTTGCTGGGTATGGGACTGTATCCCACTCGACAGGATAGGGTCGGACCACCCCCAACTTGTTCATGTTCTGTTAGAGCTTTAAAGCGTTGAGCTGGCTTTGGAATTCGTCGAACCTCTTGTCGCGGGCGCTACCCCCAGTATGCGACGTCCCTAGCGATGTCTTGGAAGAGTAATCGGATTGTGGACTGATATTATCCTCCGTTTCGGTCACTGGACGATGGGGAGGTACCCACTCCTTATTCCCCGCTTGTCGCGGTAAGGTGTGCTGGGTTCTTTTCTTCTTCTTCTTCTTGTTCAGAAGCTGCGCCAACATCTCCCTTAAGGAGTCGATGGTCGCCTGTTGTTCCTCGAACTTTTGGGCCACCGTCTGTTCATGGGTGGGTTCAGCCATGTGTACCCTCGCCAGTGTGTCCTGACTTGAGTGTGATGTTTGGGACGTGGCTGCCGCTGAGTAAACTTCATTTTCGCTGTCGGAGGGAGGTGCTAAGGTTGAGTAATCAAACCCGATGCTCGCCCCTGTGCGACTACGGGTACGTTGGTATATGCCGCCTTGCCCTCGTTGAACAAACCGAGGATTAGGCCCTAGGACGGAGTCCGAATCTGGGGAATCAGAAAGTACTATTTTACCCCTGTCCGTCATGTTGATTGTAGCGGACGGGAGCTCTAGATCATCGGTGGCACGTCCTCTTTGGTAACAACACCTTCGACAAGAAAGTTTCGGTCGAGAAGGCCGTTGAGAGAGCCTCCCGTACACTGAAGATTTCGTCGTTCCTATACATTAGCAGTCAGCGAGTACCGTTTGGATAAGCCTTTTGCAGTGGCACTGAGGATTCG